AATGAAAAGTAAGAAAATTCTCCAAATAATATATTTAGGAGTGGGAAATATGACAAGACACAAAGTAGAAAAAACTGTTTACTTCCATTTGTACTCAACTAAACCATTGATAATAGTCTGTCTTATAGAAAGAGGAAAAAACTCTTGCCCATATAAATTAACTAAATCGACTGGAAAAATAATTTAAATATAAGGTTCTAGTTCAATTAACACAATAGAAAGTTTCTGGATGTGGCAAAATTAGCAAAACACCAGAACCTCTGCATTTTAATGAGGTGTCTGTGATTCAAAAGATCCTAAATATTCACCTATCATTTCATCCATAGCAAAATGATCATGAGCCCTTTTTATGAATAGTATTTTAAGCCTTGCTCATGGTGCAGTTCTGCATTACTTTTACACAGTTTTTCCAGCATGGGATCATAATATAAATATTCTTTGCAATCATATTTCACACATTATTATCAGCTGTAATACTGCAGTGAAAATTAAGTCCATATTTGAACATCCTTGCTGTATCTCATTTTGCCCTGAGAATGATTTCAGCTGCCACTAGGTTATTTCTCTGGATATTTAGTAGTGATTCATACATAAATTGTGTCTTTTGGCTAGGTGTCTGCAGAACTAGAGGTAAAATAAACCCCTTTATTATCATAGGAGTTAAAAAGAATATTTAAATCTTCATCCATATGAATGCAAGGAAATCTGAAAACACATCTCAGGGTAACACTGTAGAGCAACCAGGGGCAACATAATAGAAATATGATCCTGCAAGGTTTATTACAGGCATGCAAAGATAAATACATGAAAAAAAATTACATTACTCAAGTCCAGAGGGTTCTGTGTTCCTTATAGTAACACACTGCCTATAAACTACTAAGCATTGCCTAGGTAGATGTTGAAAGTTGGGACCATGAATAATTCCATTCGCACACATGACTGTCTTCAACATTTATTGCCTCTCCTCCTCCCCTTTCTTCTCCCCCACTGGTGTTAATAATTAGATACCAGTTTTCAATTAGTGTATCAGGCCATCCTTAAATCAGGATATCCTTAAATCCATAGCAATTCATTTTGTCTTCACAGATACAGAGCTGTGGGAGCAGTTTATTTGTATAACTAGAACAAGATTAATTTCACTTAAGGTGGCAAATGACAGAAGATAAGGAGAAGGAAGGTATTTCCTGTGGCCACTGTGATATTGCACCACCACAGATGTCAGGGTTGAAAGTGCAGAAGAAGTTTTCTTCAACCTGTACAAATCTGCCCAAAATGTTGATGGCTTTATCAGAAACACCATGGCAGATTATATTTGTTCAATGAAGTATTAGTTTTTATAATGTTTCACAGAAGAAAGGGAGAATTGAAGACTTTACTATCAGAGGCTTTAGCTTGTAAAGATTTTACAATACTTTCACAACAGGTTGGTAAAAGACCTTGACATCAATTTATAGAGGGAAATGCAGGTGTTTGTACTGGGCTGGCAACCATCAGCTCATAGTTCCCATGGCAACAATAAATTGCTATGCATGAGTAATGGGGAGTGATTACATTTAGAGTAATTATGGCAAAAAGTAATTAAGCAAGATGAGAAAAACATACAGCATCATTTGCCTTTTTCCTCTATCAATGGCAATCCACATGCCAGTTTTCAATCACATTTCTTAAACACCATAAGACCTTTCAAGGCTTTATCCCACTTGTGGAGTCATTCTTTATGCATCTTTAGATGATCACTAATTGACTGAATAAAAGCTGAGTTTTGTTGTGTTTTTGTCCTTCATATCTGCATAGCTCTCATACTGTTAATTACAGAAATATGAGTGCAAACTGACTAAGGCCAGAAGAGCCATTGTGATCATAAGGTCTACATAAGACGCATTTTCTTCCTCACAGCAATGCTGTCACGTAGTCCGTATTTTGAAACTGAAATACATAAAATCTTTCAAGAAATAGCCAGATGTAATTTGAAGCAAGATGAATATATTACACTTGCTCATTAAGTATTCTAAGGTTATTTGCACCCATGGCTTACTGTTAAGCCTTTCTCTTAATTAAGATTCAACTGCTATAGCCTAATCTCACTGTATGTGACCTTGTGAACTCACTCACTGGTTTCAGAGATGCAGAGCATCAGGTGTTTCTCTCTATACAGAGCAATGTGAAGTTATCAGGGCACTTGCTAACAAAAGCCCCCTGGACTGAGTTTACGTCACTTGGCTGTTGCCCTGATTTTTTAAGTTTCTCTAAGCCTTCTGATGTTTACAGAATGATTCGTTATTCCTGTAATGAACTTTCTCACACACTTCATGTAAATAACTTTTTGATTTGCATTCTTTTATGGAGGAGGAGAAATTTGATGGACTGTTGGTTTGTCCAGTGTCATTGGAGAGGCGGCACTGCCACCCTCTAACCCACTGTCACTTTTGGAAATCTATAAATGTTGGAGTCAGAATTTAAATATTCTTTTTTTTTTGCCTTGAGAGAGCTGCGTGTCCCATAGTGACACTTGACTTTGGTAAGGGGGCAGCCACAGTGGTGGCTGAAGGAGAAGGTGCCAGAAGATGTCTGTGTGACAGAGCCAATGCCAGCTCCATGGTGGTTCCACTGCTGGCCGAGGCTGAGCGCACCGGTGATGGAGGGATTGCCTCTGGCACAGCACAGCCAAGGGGGCATGGGGTATGGAAACTGCAGTGGGAGAAGGAAGTGAGGACATGTGAGAGAAACAGCCCTGCAGATACCAAGGTCAGAGCAGAATAAGGGGGAGCGGGTGCTCCAGGAGCTGGAGCAGAGATTCCCCTGCAGCCTGCGGTGCAGCCCGTGGAGAGGCACCTGTGCCCCTGCAGCCCGTGGAAATCCATGGTGGAGCTGAGATCCACCTGCAGCCCCAGACAACCCCAAGCTGCAGCAGGTGGGTGCCTGAAGGAGGCTGGGAACCCAAGGGAAGCCCATGCTGGAGCAGGCACCTGGCAGGACCTGTGGCCTTGTGGAGAGAGGAGCCCACACTGGAGCAGGTTTGCTGGCAGGACTTGTGATCCCATGCTGGAGCAGCCTGTTCCTGAGGGACTGCACCCCATGGGAGTGACTCACACTGGAGCAGTTTGTGAAGGACTACAGCCCGTGGGAAGGACTCATATTGGAGAGGATCATGCAGGACTGTCACTGGTGGGAGGGACTCCACAGTGGAATAAGGGAAGAGTGCGAAGAGTCTTCCCCTGAGGAGGAAGGAGTGGCAGAGACAGAGTGTGATGAACTGGCTGCAGCCCCCATTCCCTGTGCCCCTGTGCTGGTCGGGGAGCAGAGGTAAAGAGAATAGGAGTAAAGTTGAGCTCAGGATGAAGGGAAGGGTGGGGAGAGGATATTTTTGAAAATTGGGGTTATTTCTCATTATCCTATTCTGATTTGATTGGTAATGAATTAAACTAATTTCCCCAAGCTGAATCTCTTTTGCCATGACAGTAAATGATGAGGGATCTCTCCCTGTCCTTACCTTCATCAATGAGCCTTTCCTTATGTTTTAGTCTACTGTGTCTAGTTAGGAGGGCGTGCCGAACTGCCAGCAGAGTTCAGCTGGGGTATTTTGGTATTTTTAAGAAGCTCTAGGAAATATGTTTGTGAAAGCCCCTCCCTTGCAGTGGTGCTTCCCATGGCTCAAGTCCAGTGCCAATATCCTCTGAATTCAGGATTCCAGGGGCTATGCAGGTCATTTCAGTTACACAGAGTTGACAGTCATGTTTAGCTTACTGGCAATATCAGACTCATCATTTTCCAGTACAATAAGAAGTTCTTAAAGTTTGCCTCATGTTCTTAATTCCCAAATGTACAACTTTTCATTTTACTCTCTTAAAGCTATCTGTTTGCTTGTGCTAAATTGTGAAATTCGGTGTAAAGGAACTGTCCCACCATCACCTCTACTGAAAATGTCACAACTACAAGACATTAGCAGTAATTTTTGTATTTTCTTTCAAAATCTTAATATTAAACTTCAACTAGTTAATAAATTCTTGACAGGTGTTGCTAGAAATGTCTATGTATCTCAGATGATATATTACTAGAGGTTTTATTTTTCTCAGCAATTTTTAGATGTGGCTAGATGTTCATAGAGGAATGGAATGACCATGCAATGGAAATTGTACAAAGTTTTCCAAGAAGAGAATGTTGCCATTAGGGAAATACTTCTATAAAATGAGAACTCAGTCTTCATCCAGTAAAGTATCTGCCCAAGGTGCACCAAGATTTCTACAAATGTCATACACAAAGGGTTCTTGAGTACTGCACAGTTAAATTGATTAAGTGTACATAATTTTAAATCCATGCTGTAGCATTTACTTTTGGCTTAAAAGGTTTTTGTTAGGTATAAAACTGATTGTATTCTGGTTTCATGCTTAACCATATATTTTTACTGTATTGAAATAGCCTTTGATCAATGTTAAAGCAAGTATACAGAAAAATATGCACATACTTGACTGCTTTCTTCTTCCAAAAGTGAGCCACATACAGGCTTTCATAAAATAGTTTTGGACTTCACATCATTGAAGAACTCATAGTTTTTTCTCATATTCAAATATATGAATCTGACTCTATTTATCTGTCTCTTAAACTATACATAAATTACAGAGATTTAAACAACACTTGATTAAGAAATAGCAATATATTCCATAAATATCAATAGACTTCTTACCAGCCGGAATGGAGGACCATGCCTCCTCCATGTAGGTTCTTGAAAATCAGAGTAATTGTTATATCAGTTAAATTTTCAGCACCTAGTGACATCTAGCCATCATACTGTATTCAGTTTTATGTTTACACTGTTTTTTCTGGAAGTTTTCCTGAAGATGCTTCTTGTTTTAATTATTATGTAAACATTTTTTAAGGAAAGCGGTTTCTATCTCATATGACAGAGTCAAGAAGAGATGGTACAGACCTATTGGAACTATCCCTTGAAAATCCATGCAAAGAACAATTTATCTCAGAACAAATGCACGCTACTTTACATGCACTACACATTGAAACAAACACAATTTTTTAATTTTTTAGTCTTTGACATTTGCCCATGTACTGAAAACAACACTAACACAAGCTCTGTAAAATACAAGCTGTTCTTTTCTCTGCTGTTCTTTTCTCTGCTGTTCTTTTCTCTGCTGTCCTTGTTTCTCAAAATACCACAAATATCATTAGGTTCAATGTGTCACATCACACTGTGAAGCAACCTTGAAGATAACGTAATAAAATAATGTATTCACAGAATAAATTTCTTTCACTGCAACATTAAATATATAAAGCTTAATGTTTACCTCTTGGAGATAGTGACATTATTTTTTGAAAATGGAAATCTAATCAATTATGAAAATAATAAAATTAAGGCTTGAAGGAAGAGATGCATGCACTCAAAGTAAAAGGCAATACAAAGTTCAAAAGACCATAACTTAAAAATGGTCAACTACAAAATTTAAGTTTGCTCCTTATACAGTCATAATATTTTTTACATATATTTTCAGCCAATTTGGGCATATCTTTGTAATTTATTACAGCATAAAATTTTGTTACCAACCATAGACATTCAAAAATTTTGAAGAAATTGTACATTTTTTGATACAAGAATTTAAGGCAATTATGAATGATTACATTACTACATATGTTTAGTACATATTGTGACTGAGAACAGTGTAGCTTAATTACTCAGAAGCAGCAATTAAGTGTCAGCTTCACTTGCAACTAGTAAGATTCCTTTCTTGAAAATGTTGTAAGTGGACAACACAATTACCTGTGAAGTAGTACAGCTGAGCATAAAAGTTACACAAGTTCCTTCATTTTACTGTATGTTTGCACATACTCAAGAGTATGTTAGCCAAGTGCCATTTAATTGGGTTTTTTTTGGCTAAAGGAAATCTTTGGCTAAAGGATGGATCCTAAATCTGATTTATATATAACAGTGCACAGTGTGCATCTGGGTCCACACATATCTTGGAACTGTATTTTGGTTTTTATTAGAGGAAGAAAAGCACTGCTGTAATCTTTTGTATAATACCTCAAACACACTACTCACAATCTGGCAGGGCAAACTTGGCACTAAGAGCCCTGGTAGAATAATTTCTTTAGCTCTTTTAAGGAGATTTCTGTATCTTTTTTAGGCAAAAGTGATGCAAAGCAGAAAATGTAATGTATAAAATGCAAACCTTGTTAGAAACCTGCTGCAGTGTCTTAGTTTGAGAGGAATCTGAGTAAACACTCCTGTTACCCATTTTGTTTAGTGTGGCGTTACATTTTCAAATTCACACAATGGATGGAATTCCGTGGGATTATTTCCTCAGGCCTAGCCAGAGAAATATATATCTTTTCCTTTCCTTCATGTACATTGAAATCAACCTTTCTGGTTAGAAAAAGACGTAAAATAGCATACTAAGCCAGTCAATGAGGTGAAACTTTTGCTTTGCTTTTCACCAGAAACCACAATCCCTGCCAACAAGCTCAGAACTGGAAGCAAACACTCAGTTGCAGGGGATCTTGGCATACATTCCCTGATTTTCTACCCAAATTGGCAGGACACCTTGCTGACCAAGGGTATAGGGTTGGACACAGTTCAGAGCACACATTAACATTGCTGCTGTATTCAGAACCTTCGTGTCACAGCTGAGTGTGACAAAGTCACACTAGAGACACAGACCAACAAAGGCATCTTCCAGGAAGGAAACTGAGCCTTAGAGTGTCAGCTGCCTCTTAAGGTTTGTCTGAAAAGTCAGGTAGAAGTTTTACTAACATTTACCAGGAACAAGGTGGGACCTTTCTAAATAGTTGTTACAGAAATCCCTTCCCTCCCACTTGCTCATCCTAAAACTTTCAGACAGACGTAGCTCCATTACTATCAAGCACCAAGGTTTAAAATTATGTACAATTAAGGAAAAAAATCTTCTCCAGATGAAACAGTAAAATCAGCTTGTCATTATAATTTTTTAATACAATTATATGTTTACATTTCAATTTTTATTCAAAATAATATAATAGCAATTTTTAAAAATTAAAAATATGATTTTCAAAATCATGGAATTTCCTAAAATGTTGTAATTTCAGCTGAAGTTTGAAAATGTTTTAATAATTTGAGTGCTTGAGGTGATGAGTATCTCAAAACTCAAGGGAACTTCTTTCTAGACTGTCTCCAAACCTCAGTCCCAGCCCAGGAAATGGTTTCCTGCATAGATAAACTCTTCTTTACCAATTGAGAGGTTTTTAAAATATATATTTGTATATACTTATAATTTTGTTCCTAGAAATACCATCAAATAATCTCTTCACATGAAAGAATGGACACAAACACCATGCATGCAATAGCATGTCTTTGATATTATTTTACTGATTCCAAGCAGACAATACTGATACATAAACATAGCTATTTTTATATGAGCTAAGTCTCCATAGTTGAAGTTCCACCACTCTGAATTTTTTTTTTTTAAAGCAAGTCTGTAGAGAAAAAAGAATCTGAAAGAGCATCTGGCCAACACCACTTGGCATCTTTAAAGACCAGGAGAAGGTTTCAGGACTCTCTCAGCAATTTTACACACAATACCAAACCTAGGGGAGTGGTGGGCATTCTGGAGAGCAGGCACACCCTTCAAAGGCCCTTGGTAAGCTGGAAACGTGGAAGAAACAGCTACCAAATGCATGAAGATCCAGAAAGCCAAAAGCCAAGTCCTGACACTTGGACTGGGACTCAATGCAAATCTGCAGAAAAGGATTTGAAGGCTTGTAATCAAATATAAGTCAGCAGTGTACCCTTACAGCCATAAATGATGATAACATTAGGCTGTATTAGCAATGGCCAGCCAATGGGTCAAGAGAAGCAATTACCCTGCTCAGTGCTTGTGAGGCCACATCTGGAACACACTGCTCATTTTTGAACACCTCAGGTCATGAGAGGGATGGAGATGCTGGAGGAAGGGCAGTGGAAGGCCACTGACCCAGCCAGGCACCTGAGGAGAGGCTCAGGGCAGCGCATGGTTCCAGAAGGGAAGGCTGAGGGGAAATTCAATGGCCATCCTAAAATTGCACATTAGTCAGTTAGAGAAAAGAGTTCAGTACACAGTGAAAGGGAAGAAAGCAGTGGTCACAAGATACCTTAAGGGAAATCCCAGCTGTGGATAAGGAGAAATATTTTAGTGAGGGTGATTAGGCACTAGCGCAGGTTGCTCCAAATTTATTGTTGAATTGCCATCCTTAGAAATTTTCAGATTTTGCCTAGTCAAGGAAGTGACACAACTGAGGGTGTCCCTGACTTGAGGGATATCCCTGTCCAGAGGTTCCTTTAATTTGATTTGTTCTATGAGTCTATGGGTCATTAATAAAAATAGGTAAAATCATGTCTTACTCCAGCTAAAGGAATGTTTTTAAAGGAGTGTTTTTCCATTATTTCTTTAGCAATTTACCACCTAAAGACATTTTAAGTAAAGTTATAAAATTGTGGAAATGACTAATTTTATCTAAGAATTTGCAGAATTGTACCATTTACCTTTTGTACTTTGCAGTAATTTAAACGCAACCTTCTTTTTATTTCCAGTTTAAAACTACATGATATCAAGCTCCACCTATGACTTTTAAGGGAATGCTACCTTTAAATCCTTAAACATTGCCTAGAGCTTCCTTATGAAACATAATAATTTAAAACAGATGCACTTTTAAAACTGCATCTCCATCTCAACGCCTATGAAATTAAGAAAACACACATACATGCACATGCAGCACATGAAGAGAAACTTCCCTCAGTTAGACACAAATCCTCATTTTGGTACAATTACACACAGGCCATTAAAAATCCCTATATAGTGCTCACAAAAGTTTTGTGCATACAGTAAGGCAGCCAAATTAAGTGGAAAACCAATCCATCTTTGCTCAGTAAGACATACTGAAACCAGCTAAACAGATAGAAATAGCATTTCCACTCTAAAGCAATTGCCTCAAGGTGTACACAACTTATTCCAACTCCAAATCAGAGCCCAGGTTTACTTTAAAAAAAAAAAAAAGCATTGTTGAAACAATCTGAAGAGAGAACAAAAGCTTTCCTCTTTGAAATCACAGTAGTCCAGTATTTATTATCTGTAGGACAGGAAATGTATCCATTTTTCACTTTCATGGAGTAAGATGTCACAAGTTACCACATCAACATCTTCTTCTTGTACCTTTGTATGATTACTGAGTAAGAATACAGACATGTCATCTCAACATTTTTTTTTTCTCAAATATCTATGAAAGTCCAAGAGCTTTATTTGACAAAGTTATCTAAGATGCAAAGGATCAGCCCAGGTTGTTTTCATACGAGTTTCACAAACTTTGGTTACAAATGAAACTTCAGTACATTAAATACCAATTAGCATTATCAAGATAAACCCAGGATAAAGCTCATTGTGCTTTTTCTTTTTCTTGGTGTTTAGTTTACATAAAGGAAGAGCCAACACACAGGGCTTCTCAACATTCACACGTGGGTACAATTGGTAGAGGGTGGTGTATCTATCCGACTTTTATTTTCCTTAGCATCATTCAGAAGTGACTCATTACCAATCTGGCATTTGAAGACTTGTTTGTAGGCCTTCCTAAAATTTTCAGACAGAAATGCATATATGATTGGGTTCACAGAAGAATTGCTGTAAGCCAGGCAGTGTGCAGTTACCCTGAAGAGAAAGGAGGCTTGAGTCAGTGGGAAAACTCCAAATTCAGCCCAGAGATGGATCACGTGATGAGGCAGCCAGGAGATGCCAAAAACCACTACCACCACCAACACAGTCTGTGCTGTCTGAGACAAGGAAAGGAAAACACATATGTCTGATGAGCACTCAAGAAATCAGCTTTAAACCTACTTCAAAACTCCTGTTAGGATGAAAAAAAAACAAAAACCACAACAAAAAGTACACTGAGGGGGAATAAACTGCAATATTTGTTACTGATTTCACCCCATTACTTATATGGGCTTTATTTTGCATAATGAATGACTGCAAGGAGAACCCCAGCCTTGGAAAATGTCATAGTAAACGGCAAATGCACAACTTTCTTCAAAGGTGAAGAGTGATGTTCCTAACTCCCTACACAAAAGCTTAGCCTTTTCTGAAGTGCACCTAAGCCTGCTGTAAAATAATGACAACAGGGGTCTGTGGGAAATCTCATCCAGATCCAATGAATTTTAGTACCGTGCACAATAATTTCTGATCAAAATTTCAAGGGAGATCTATTATGCATGGAGGCAGCTGGTGGAAAAGCTTAGAGCTTGCTCAAGTGCTTACTAAAGCAAGCTTTTTGGAAGTGACTCCTTTAAACACAGAATTTCCACAGAATCATGCAAAACATTCTGGGATACAACTAGTGGGGGAAAAAAAAAGTAAGGGCTTGAAATTTCTGATGATTGCACATTATCAAAACCAATCTGGAAGTTAAAGTTCACCACCCAACACTAAATATAAAAATGGAACATAAAATATCCTCAGTGCTGCCTCCACACTCCACTTCTACTATCTATGAGAGGACCATCAATTTCACTAGATCCATTCTAAGCTCCAGAATCAGTCGGTAGGGACCCTGCAGGTGCTGCAGGTGTTCTCTCAGGGCACAATGGAATTTGACTGTCAATATTTTCTTTAGCTTTCACTGACTTCAGAAACAGCAGTTAGTGCTTTGCAGTGGCCTAAGTAATCAATATCTATTCCTCTACCAAGTACCTCTTTCAACTAAATAAGTCTTCAAATAAAAGTCTAATAATAATTCCAAAGCATATTATGTCACAAGCCATTATAGTTGCTATATTAGCACTTTATAATATAATTTTTCTGATAACTTCTTCACATCCAAAACTAACCCAGGGGTCACAGAGTGATAAATATTGCAGCATAGAAAATATGTAGATTTTTTGCTAGTTTATTGAACTTGGTCTATACTTCTTGAACTGATCAACGCTCAGTAATAATTAAGACTGACCTAACTAATCAGAACAGGAGTTAGCTTAGAAAAACTTATGCAAAAGACATTTTGATTTCTGTAGCAACAGGTCAAAGTAACTTATGACAGATGCTGTGGTTGGTCAGTATAATCTCACAACAGAAACCAAAGGACATTAGATCTGCAGTTAATATAACATGGTTAGTCTAAAGCAAGCATCTTTTTTTCATAAGACATTCCTCAACTTAGCCCTATGGAGTTTAAATCAGTTGCCACTTGAACAGCCACAGAGATATTTTCTTTTTCAGGTCTTATCAGGAGATTGTGTTCTAACAAGACTGCATAAATTAAGAGCAGTTTATTCTCTCATTGATGTGTTCAATGGCTTAATATTCCAAGTAAAAACAAGTGTTCGGGATACCACATGTACAATTACTTCAAAAGAGGCATTTACTTCAGTTTGTTCAGAATTCTGAAAAAAATTAACCAGGAAAATCATTGACATTCAACAGGCTGTTGATGCACCTGAAAGCAGAGGGTGACAATGTGTCTCTTGTAACTGTTACTAAAGGTATTTCATATCTGCAGAAAAAGCAATTTTGTGTTAGGAAATCTCACAACATCTGCTTTATCCCAATGTTCCTCCTTAGCCTAACTTCAGAGCTCACTTTTCCAAAATCATCCCTTTGTCTTGCAAGCAAGGTATCACTAAAGAGCAGCTCTTTTTCACTTACTGGGAGCTTGCTTAGGGTTTCTCATTAGCAAATAAAACCCACCTGAAATATATGACATTAATATCGATGCTTTGTGACCAAAAACCATGAAAAATAGAATTTAGGCAAATTAATATTTTTCATTATTTTGTTCCACACATGCAGAAAATTTATTTTAAGATTCTGCTACTAGAATGTTCATAAAGTTTTGAATAAAGCTAAAAATGTATCATTACACCTGAAATGCACTCTTTACAAGAGAGTAAAAGGAAAAGAAGAAAGACATGGTAGCCAGAGAGCACTAACAGACTAATGAGGACAGAGTCACTTTGAAAAACATGAGTTATGCCTTAGATTTAGAAACTCATCTTCTAAGCCAAAAAAAAAAATCTGGATTGCTTTTTGGGTTTTTTCTCTCTTTGGCTACTGAGCTCTGATACATTCAAGAAGTCTCGGTGATATCTGTAATGCTTTATCTTGAAGCTATGAAAGGTAATTCCTAGTCAGATCTGCAATTTTTGAGTGTTAGTGGTTAGAGGAAATGCAGAGATATTTCCAGTTTGAGAAGAGTTTAGATGAGAGATGGCAACGTACAAAATGTCTTGAAAACTATACCTTTGGCCCTGACAATATTAAATGCAAAAGCATATATGTTAAGTATTTTACTAAGTCGGGGCCATAATGCTTTTAATTCTAGGAATCAAAATCTATTGAGTAGGATATTTTTCAGAAAAATGAGAATGCATAAATGAGAAAGTAGTTATTCCCTGTTGAGTACATGTATATCTCATTTACATTGCAGGCACTCTCCATGCCCATATGAAAATAGTGATCAGATCAAATGAAGAGCTATAGCTTAAGGGGTTTTTCCTCCACATCCATAAAATGAGAAGTTAGTCAAATGATGACTGTGGTCAAATCTGCTCAAAAATCACTATCACATTATAACTGACAAATTCTGTGTTTTAATGCATCTTTCAAATATTGTTCCAAATCATGAAGTTTGTATTCTTCTTTAAAGACCTTTCATGATTCTATTTGTATCCAGTACATAACTCATGTCTTGAATGTAAGAGAAGAAAACATTGTGTGGAAAATCAATAGAAGAATTGGTGAATCACTGAAAGTCTCTTATTAGACTCCTATAGGGAAGCACAATAAATTTAATTTTAAAGGTCCCTCATGCAACCTAGGAATTATTCAGTAAAACATTACAAAATCAGACAGTTAAAAAAAGAAAATTAAAAGTCTCATAATTTGCAAGTCAGGAGAAAATGTCAGTGAGAAAAAAAAAGAAAAAATTTAACAAAAAAGACAGGTTGTCTCCCTGTGCCCAAGTTTCAGATGCTCTGAAGTTCCAAATATGAGGATCTCAGGTAATGGCTTGATGCAATGTCATGGAAAACCTGGATCAGAAAAGATTCTGATCTGCTAAGTTCAGAGGGACACTGAACATTTAATTAAATACTTCATTCTAATTTCTTCTCTCTGTTACATCTTTAGCAACAAGTACCAAATTATCTTAGTCAAACTAAAACACACACAAATGAGAATTTGCAGTGAATGCAACATACCTTTTTCTTGGATGCTTCTGACTTCTTTGACATGTTTTTTAACTTCTTATGCAGATGATTAAGAACCTGAAAAGATTAATTTGCATCTCTTTATCATATTTGCCCAATTTCTATTCAAAGTTCAAATCTGTGTATCTTGGAGTACTCTTGTGCTCTCCACAATTGCATGATTCACTAAGAGACATCACTGAACCAGCTTACACATTTAAAACATGCACAGTAGGAAAATGAAAATAATTACATATGTGAGTCCATGTGAACCAACAAAAACAAAGCAGACTACAACTGAATTCTTACTAAAATATTCAAATGTATTACATAACAAATACATATCACAAATTAACAAGGAAATGGATGGAAATCTATCTTGTACATAGAATTAGCAATCTCTCTTCTTCCATGAAAAGTCAAAAGACTTGGTTTAGAATGACCTTTAGTGTGTGTAACATAAGAAAAGTGTACGTTTTGAGTCAGAGCTTTTCTGAGTCACCTGTATAATTTGTTTCCTTCAGAGGAATGCTTGATTAGTATAATCAAGATCCTGGCACTATTTGATCTTTGAAAGAAGCTTAGGTTTTCAAGAATAATTTATACTAAAATGAGGGATGACACATGAGGCATGACACATGAGGCATGACTTTTCACAACAATGTGATGATACTCACCATGCATCTTTCAGAACCCAGTTTTAAAAATACATCACTAAAAGGCTCATTGTCCAAGAGCAGGGTTCAAATCTTAACATCATTATTTGCACATAAGGTTTTGGATAGAGGATGCAGAGATCTTGGGTTGGGGAAAAGGGTCCAAATTCAGATTCTTTCATATCATCTGGTGACATTTTCTCTGTGTGCTTTGGGTTGCACAGCTAACCACTATTAGGACAGACATCAGTCAAGATGATCTAGAGACTTTGGCATTTAAGTTTTATAGACACACATATTGATTTAAAACAAGTAAGATGGTATTTATGAATATCCAGAGATCATCAGCAGACTTAATTTTTTAGGTATCTACTCTTAGCTACCAGAGAAACACCAACAACAATGAAAAAAAAGAAATTACCATTTAATATTGTAAGTGCAGCTCATTTGTGCCTGTCTGTGTACTACACTGAGACTCACCCTGCATGCATTTCCTACTTGGAAACACTATCCAGGCCACTTCAGGGGGTAACCTGAGCTAAGAAAAAGCAGGAGAAAAATAAATGGGCTTTCCCCAAGAAAGTCACATTTTGATTTAGTTTTTTTCCTCTTCAATATGAAGCAGGCCCAAAGGAAAGAACAGAATCCCAGAAGAAAACAGAAGCAGAACAGGGAGATTACTGACTGGCTCACAGACTTTTTATTCAGCTCCAGTCACCCTGTAGAGACCAGCTGAATTGCTGAGTCTATCAGTGAAAAACATAAAACTTAAAAAAAGGCATGGGAGGAATGCAATTAAGTTCATGTCCCATCACTGCTGCTTCATCTCTCATACCCCCTTCACATAATTTACAGTGATGGGCTGTTTCTACTGGACCTTTGCAAATCCCATCACGTGCCTCCCAGGGATTCTCCTTCACAGCCCAAAACTAAAGTCAGATAAACTTTTTGCAGAAATCAGGACTGCAAAATAGTTTTTAAAGTTACATACATTTTTTTCTTCTGTTCTGAAATTTTTTACCCAAAGTTTTGCATTGTATCTCTCTCCAGTTCAAAGAAAGATGCAGGAGACAAAACAGATAAATTGCATATTTGAGGGGTTTGGGAGGTGGTGGAGGAGGGTTTTGTTGTCAGTTTACATTATAACCTTCAAATGAACCTTATCAGTTTCCCCTCTTTCAGGTTACATACATATTTCATAAAATAAGTATTTGCAGTGAAAACATATTGGCATAGTATTGTACCAGACGGCATGAAAAGTAGCAGCAAGACAAATAGGCAAAATGCAATTACTTATCAACAGCAGTGGAACAGCTCTCAAAGACCTACAGAGACTGCCATGGTGTGTTAAAAAAGAGCCATGTTTATGCACAAACACTACATGGCAAATCTAACACACTCTCCACTATCCTGTTAAAATTGCCTCTTCTCTGGGCCAATGAATAATCAATTGTTCCTCTAATAACCAACCTTCCTTCCTTCCTTCCTTCCTTCCTTCCTTCCTTCCTTCCTTCCTTCCTTCCTTCCTTCCTTCCGCCACTTCCTT